ACTAAATCAGGTTATGATCCCTAACCATAGAATAAAAAAGCCAGAAACAAATACATAGAGTTGTTTTATTAACACACGAGAGAGGAGATGAGCTTCATGTGTGAAAGAAGTGAGTAATCCAAAAGATAGAGAGAAGGAAAGAAGAAAGTGAATTGGAAAGGTCTAGATTTCACTCATTTGATATTTCATGGAGGCGCTATAATTTCCTGTTGTGGGCATTTGTAAGAGATGTAAAAAGTTTATCTGACGCAAATTCTATTTGTCACGTGTTTCGAGAATACTTGATGAATCCACTCGCTTAGTAGCCGAGTAGTCATTTGGGACATAAATGAATACCTTATCACGTATCCTTGCAATAGGTGACGAATTTTTAAGCGCCACAATAAATTCCGTCATCTAATCCATATATATATATTTTTGTGGTGATCTCGAACATTTAATGACAAATCCCAACCCGGGATGTCCACTAGGACTCCGAATCGAGCTGTGCTGGCCGACACCTGAAAGATGACGAAGCCATAAAGTATGATGATGTGGAAAAATGTGAACAAATTTAAACCTGAGAGTGCCTAAAAACCAGAGTGCGCTGGTGAGTGAGAATGAACTCACTTCACACGTGAAGTTAGAGCATAAGTAAGTATAGTAGAGTGGATTAAGAATCATACCCTCAAAAGAAATCTCCAATACTAAGATTTGCCACGAATCCTCGACGATAAGAAACCTCAGCTAATAAAACCTAGAGGGTGAAAACAAAACAAGGGTGAGTGGCCCTAGAAATAAAACTTTTAATAGAAGCCTTCTAAAATGTTATAACCCCTCGATGCAAGACCTGTATAGTTTCCAGAAAATCATCACGTATCAATGTGAAATAAAAAATATAGCACAGTAATTCCATAAATATACTACGACACATCAACTAATCAGTAATATAAATAATCATGTGCTCAATAATTTATATTAGCACGCAAGTCAGAGTCACCTAATGTGACTTGTACGACTGCACTCATATCTCATCAATCAATGCTAGCACATAAGTCGGAGTCACCTATAGTGACCTATATGACTCACCCATATCTCATCAATCAATGCTAGCACATAAGTTGGAGTCACCTATAGTGACCTGTACGACTTATCCATATCTCGTTAATCAATGCTAGCTAGCATATAAGTTGGAGTCACCTATAGTGACCTATACGACTCACCCATATCTTATCAATCAATGCTAGGACATAAGTCAGAGTCACCTATAGTGACATGTACAACTTACCCATATCTCATCAATCAATGCTAGCACATAAATCGGAGTCACCTATAGTGACCTGTACAACTTATCCATATCTCATCAATCAATGCTAGCACATAAGTCGGAGTCACCTATAGTGACCTGTACGACTCACCCATATTTCATCAATCAATGCTAGCACATAAGTTGGAGTCACTTATAGTGACCTGTACGACTTATCCATATCTCATCAATCAATGCTAGCACATAAGTCAGAGTCACCTATAGTGACATGTACGACTTATCCATATCTCATCAATCAATGCTAGCACATAAGTCGGAGCCACCTATAGTGACCTGTACGACCACATCTCATCAATTAATACTAGCACATAAGTCGAAGTCACATGTAGGACTTATCCATATCTCATCAATCAATGCTAGCACATAAGTCGGAGTCACCTATAGTGACATGTATGACTCATAGGCAACCTGTTTAATCACATAATAATTCACCTGAACTTACCTACGCCTTTGTAGAATCATTTGGCATAACCACTTAACGTCCCAAAATTCTTAATCGGAACTAACCCGGTGATAGGCCAAAATAAAATCATGGTTAATCTCTACGCTGTTAACCATCATAAACTTCTTTCCTTAAAGAAATCAAGTACCATGTTATATTCGGGTTGTTTTATGGCTGTATCTAACTGTCTAGTTAGACTGCCTACGTACCCTTAAATGGGATCAAGCCATTCGTAGTTTAACTTAGTACATCAAAGCATTCACAGTCATTATATGTAGGTAATATGCATATAGATATGCCATAATGCAATCTAACACTCAACCACATCATAGTATCTTAGATTATATAAATATATGTATGACATGGCATAAAAATGCATAAATCAATTTAAAAGCGTTTGCGGAATTATCAATCATGTATATATATATATATACGATAAAAGGAAAAGACCCACTCACCTGAAGTCCGCGCTACGACTCCCTAGCACGAATATTGCAACATCACGAACCATCGTTGCCTAGAACAATTATCAAATCACGTCTCAGATTTTTTATCGATAGAACACGTAACTTACATAAAACATATCCTCAAGGACGTTCTAGAATGATTTGTAACTCATTGACCAAAAGTCAACCGTCGATCAAAGGTCGACGGTAGGGTCCATAAACCTACATAACTCGATCTGGGGGATCCGCACCTCGGATTTCCGATACATAATTTCCACAGATTCACATTATACTTCTAAAACATTATACTAAAGTTTCACTACAATCCAACGGTTGGATCTCCGCTAATTACCAAAACCAAGTGGAGGTCGACACTTTATTTTATGAACTAACAATTCCAATTCGGTAAGATCCGTACGTTGGATTCTAGATCTGTAAGTTCCTATGGTCCACAAATATTGCATACTATAATGTAATAAAGTTTGGTGACGATCTAACTGTTGGATCGTCCGTTGCTATAATATTGCTTTGCGGACCCTAATGGAACTAGGTTCAAATGACTGAATTTCGTCAATTGGACTTCACATATGGAATTGGAGTATCAAATTTAGCCTAGGAAGGTCAAAGGGGTACATTGGCCCACGTGCCGCCTCGACTTGCCTGAAAATTCAATTATTTCTAAAAATTACCAAATTTTACAAGAATGAAGATCTCAAAGAGAGGAACAACTTTCATACCTGCCACGAAGTCCAAAAGTGGACGGAAGGTGGTCAATTTTTCCCACAAAGCCGGCGGGTGCCTAGAGCTTCCCGGCGTCGATTCGTCGTCTACGGTGGTCCAACGGGATCAAGGTTGGTTGGGATTTTCTCCTGGGATGATGGGCTACAAAGCCCAAGTGGTGACATCGGCCTAGTGGTGGGATTTTCCCTCTGAGGTAGGTGCTAGAAAAATGGACTGAGAAAAAAGTTAGCAGTTGCAAGCTAGTCATCAGTAAATTCAGTACACAAGAGAGAAAGAGCTTTATGACAGGAAGGCAGACACTTGTTCTTTTTGCTTGAGCATTTTTCAAAAAGTGTGACTCATCTGCAATCACAACCTGAACAAGAAGTTAATAACATATCAAAAGTAGCAGCATATGCAAGAAGCGAGAAACAGAGAAAGAAAAAAAACACCGGCAGGATTTCCTAATGATCATGTTGGACACTATTTGTCAATTTAAAAGAGGCCACATATTTTTGTTAATAAATGTGGTTCTTGGTTGGGTTTTGTAGAGGGGAATGAGAGCTTCAAGATGGAGGTGGCGTCGAAAAACTCCACCGGAGTTGGTCGGAATCGGCCTTGGAAAATGGGAGGTCAAACTAGGTTGTGTGTTGGTCGACGGGAAGCTGAGCTTCCCTTTATTATTTTTATCTTCTTCCCTCATTTCTGATTGGTTGTTTGGTCCTTAGTTCCCTTTTATTTGATTGGTCCCTTGTACTCTAATCTAATTGGTCCTCATCCCACAAGGTGGGAATACAAATAATTTATAACTAAACTTTGAATAACCAAAATCAAACTTCTGTAACTATACCGTTATAATTCGGACTCGCAAACGGGTTTCGCCTATGCGTTCATACCAACGAGTACTACAAGGATATGCTAAAAGAATAAGTCATACGTCTCTCTAACCGATGGTCAACAGAAGTCAAAGTCCTTATCTCTAGGGCATTTTCGTAAATTCACACTTTTAAAATTAATAAAAACTTAAAATTTGGGACAGGTTGTCACACTTGAGGAGTCAACAACTAATGTCAACCCACTAGAGTCAAAGAGTACTGGCTTTCTACACAGTTTCCCCAATAAGAGAAGATACTTTTCAATGTGCCCGGAATACAGGACGGTATGTTATATGCTATTATACAAGTAGAGGAAAGTTTTTTTCAAGTGTTCATTCAGTGTATAATGACATATAATGTATGTGCCTATATTCCGAGACAAATTGAAAAATATCTCGAACAAGAGATGCAAAATGTTTTAAAATTGACGTTTAGTTTTTTTTTTTTTTTTTTGGTTCATTGGAAAGCTCTCCGATGAATGGAACATGAAATACACGTTTTATGTAAATATAAAATGTACACCTACTTCCTTAGAGGCCAGACCCGCTAATTAAAGAGAAAAAGTGAATGAAATTTCAAATTTACATGTTTATTTGAGAGAAAACTAATAATAAATCTCCCGACAATGTGAAATATAATGTGAATATTTTACATTTCAAATTTAAATATCTTCCATAAAAATGCTCCTCAACCAAGCAAGTCTTGGTGTTTATTAGAGTAGTTTTATAGTGACATTCAAGGTAACAACTAGCATTATCAATATTTGAAAAGAAAACACATTCATTGTAACTAATATGACTACGTATACATTAATTTGCAGTGCAATAATTAGTCCATAAACAAAATATGCGTTGGATGTCTCGCAACTCATAACGAAACCATTTCGTTGTGGCAACAACTAGCATTATCAATATTTTAAAAGAAAACACATTCATTCTAACTAATATGACTGTGTATACATTAATTTGTAGTGCAATAATTAGTCCGTAAACAAAATATGCCTTTGACACTACAAGAAAAGGGGGCTAAGAACACAATTGATCTGTGTCCTTTTCATTTTCATTGAGTACCAGTACATATCTGTGCGTTTTGAGTATCATTGAACACAAAACTATTTTATATGTGCTCCCTAAGCAAACGGAACACTGGTTTGTGCCGAAAATGAAATGTATTTGTGCCTACTTGCTTGTGTCACCTTTAAATGTCAGAAATGAGATTTGTTTATTAATTTACTAAAGCACAATAAAAGTTTTCGTGCTCTCCGATGTAATATAGTTCACGCCTTTCCTCTCTCTCCCCCTCTCTTAAACTCTACCCCTTGTCCTCCTCAACAATCTTCCTCCCTCCCCCATCCTCTCACTCCCTCCTCTTTCACGCAACAAAGTCAATGTCCACCCAAATCCCAGGTTCGGTCTCTCTCTAATTCTCTCTTATTTGATTTGATTTTCAAAAAATATATAGATCTATTTGATTTTCTTTCCTACTATTGTCTTCTTCAAGCTACATTGATCTGGATTTGATGAAGGAGAATCTTCGAGTCAAAAAGATGTGGGCAACAAAAAAGGAGGGTCGCCGGAGGCCACCCTAGAAACCACCATTGGCATCTTCACCATCGAGGTAAATTCTCCTTCTTCGCAAACTTTCCCTTCAATTTTCTTTCACTTTCTCAGGAACCAAACCAACAATTCAGTCCATAAAGTTTGTATCTTTGACATTATTTGTGCTTTCAAATCGTTAAAAATAGTAGCTTTATTACAAACACTCGCCGAGAACTTGCAGGAACTTCATCAGGCTCGCTCGCAAAGGATATTACGACAACGTAATTTCACATAATCATCCAGGTTCCATATTTTCTGCTTTTGTAGTGTATATAAATATTAGATATATATATATATATATTACTGACGGTTAAATTGGAATTGGGGTAGGATTTCATAGGGCAAGGTGGTGATCCCACTGGGGCAGGAAAGGGTGGCGAATCCATTTATGGGTAAAAAAAAATTCCCTTGAACTTCCCATAATGTATTGAAATTTGCTTTTATTTTTTAACCCCCGATTTTAATTAGATTTGAGAACCATAGTGAAGAACTTGTTTTGTACAATGGGTTTCAGGGGAAAGTTTGAGGACGAGATAAAACAAGAGTTGAAGCATATTGGAGCTGGCATCTTATCGATGGCGAATGCTGGTCCGAAAACAAATGGAAGCCAGTTCTTTTTCATGTTGGCACCGTGCCCATCATTGGATGGTATGCTAACTTTTACCCAGTAATGTTAAGACTGTTTTTTACAACGTTGTACCAAATCTCTTTTTCTTATTCCCATGTGCATGTCCATGTGTAGACCTTTTTGTAGCTTTCTAAGTTTGGGTTTTTCTTGATGTGTGCTTACGTGGTTTGGGATTACTTTCCTTTGCAGGCCTGCGTATTATATAAAGCTTTGCACTTCAGATTAAGGTAAAGTTTGATTATATCTTATAGTTAATTCTGATGCCCATCGCAAGGTGTATAATTTTTTTCCATTACACTTGTGTGTTCTATCAATTAAACTCCAGACCAACTACTAATCTCCTAAGTTCTTTAAATTCGGGTTTGTTATATGTTATAGGAAATGGCATATTTTGAGATATTTTGCATCTTTTTTTCTTTAGTTCCTTACATTTGAAAGAGTGAGAATTATATTATTGGGACTTTGGATTCTATTTTTATGTCCTAATTTGTGTGAGGATTGCTTGCCATCCATATAAGAATGTTACTAAGTGTCGGGCAAAAGTCTTTATGTTTCAATCACAAACAAGTGCATGTATACATAGCAGAATTACACCAATTAATCTGTGGGAGGAAGGATATACAACAACTCATGAGATAAAGATAAAGAATCATAATTTGAAAGCCACTACATACTCATTTCTTGTTGCTCTGTGGCACTCAAGCAGCATTTTGGAACTAAAAGATGAGAAAAGAACTGTGCAGGTTCACTTAAAACCTTAATATTTGATGTTCTTATTCTTGAGAGAACCGATATTTACTTAAAACCTTTATAATTTTATTTTTATTTTAGTTGGGGATAGAATATGTAAAATTATAGTTGTTTTTATATATAATGGTTGTCAATATCTTTGTAAATTGTAATATTATAGATGCTTGTGGTTGTGGGCTGTTTTAATTTTATGAAAAAATAATTTTTTGTTTAGTCTCAATCTCAATTTGTAGGTGATTTCGGTTTTTAAATTTTTTTTAAAATAGTTGACATATTGGGCACAATAAGAATAAATGTGCTAACATGGGTGGTAGCAGTCATCTGACAACGTTATCAGAACTGGGCACAAAATGACCTTTATTTGTCCAAAATTGAACTTTTTAATATGAATTCAGCCATGTGTAGAGGCAAAATGCAAAAAATTGCAGATTGTGCCTCTGCACTCATCCCTTAGATTTTCCTCAATCCGTCATCCGTCATTTCCATTTTTCTCAATTTCATCATCTAATACTCCCTTCATCTTCTTCTCTAGGTTGATCGAGCTATCTTGGTGTGTCTGGTAAGCGTTTTTTGTTGTTATGGTAAAAGTATTAGTGTAAATTCATACTAACGCCATAAATTTCGTTGTCTATAGGGATATTGTGTGTGATTAGCGATTGGTGAAGAACGATTGAGAAAGTATTTTCATCGTTTTATTTTTTTAAACATATAAAACTAATTAAATTATGTTGAACTTAGTTTGTTATGTTTATATTGTGTTGTGAAATTATATTTATATTATGTTGTTAAATTTGTACATGACGTACAAAAATGTGTTGTGATGTAAGAAGTTAATTGAAATTAACTTTGTACTTGTTTTTTATTTTTAGTAAAACTCAGTTTCCCGTTCGAGAATTAGTTGGATTTCGCGCATAGATGCGAAAGCATAACTGTGGTCCAATTAATTCTTGAATTGTCCCATTATTTAGACAGTTTGTGAATGCACAGTTATGATGCGTAGTTTATGGTTGAAGGATTAGGTTTCGATTGTGGAGATTTCAGTGTTATCTCTGTACGTTCTTCGGGTTGTACACCTGAAGAACTGTATCGAGATGCTGCTGAAATTCATCTACGTCGAAATCTAATATGATGTAGCTGTAAATTACGTGATATGACTATGCATTCCCGAATGGGATAGGGCCCTCACCGAAGGCATAAGGTGACATTATCATTTTGTATGAAGTTGTTGTGATTGTTGTATTGTTATTGTGGTTCCAGGAATTATGGACATGACGTGGATACAGAACCCGAATAAATGCGAGAACAAATATTTGGATGGAATCGAGGATTTTATTGACTTTGCACGTACACATAACCCCGGTGCAACTAGAATCCGGTGTCCTTGTAGGAGGTGTAACAACACGTTAAGGGAGACAATTGAAAATGTTCGATTTCATTTAGTAAAGAATGGAATGATTAAGACATATAATACTTGGAACCATCATGGGGAACAATTAGACAATGCTTCGTCTTCAAACGCCATAAGAGTGGCTAATGTTGAACTTATTATGAATCCTAATGAACAAGTCATGGATATTATAAATGATGATTTTCCATTTGCATCGACAAACACCAATCAAGAATGGAAAGATGACGTGCCTACACCAATGGACAATGCAGTGTTCGAACAATATGAAAAACTATTAAACAATGCCAACCAAGAGTTATACCCGGGGTGCGAGAGCTTTTCTGTTCTCACGGTCATTGTGGAACTAATGCATGGAAAAATAAAGTATCGTATGTCGAACCAGTGTTTCGATTACTTTTTGGGAGTATTCAACATAATGCTTCTGAAGGACAATTGTTTGCCGAAAGACCATAGCCATGCGCAAAAAGTGTTGAATGGTCTTGGATTGGGTTATGAAAAAATTCACGCTTGCAAAAACAATTGTATTTTATTATACAAAGAGAATAAAGCATTGGATAAATGCCCTGTATGCAATGAGTCGAGGTTCAAAATGACATCTCAAAATAAAACGACTAAGATCCCACAAAAAGTTATGTGTTATCTGCCCCTGAAACCTAGGTTGCAGCAATTGTATATGTCGACGCATACTGCCACAAACATGAGATGACATAAAGAAAAATGAGGAGACGACGATGTGATACGACATCTTGCAGATTGAGAGGCATGGAAAGAGTTCGATCGAACGTTCCCCAAGTTTGCTGCTGATTTTCGTAACGTTAGATTGGGACTTGCCACTGACGGATTTAATCCATTTGGGGTTTTAAACCAACACCACAGTACTTGGCCGATTTTCGTATAATTTTCCGCCATGGAAATGTATGAAAAAAGAATACATGATGATGATTCTATTGATAACTGAAGATCCTGATAGGTCAATCGATGTATACTTACGGTCGTTGGTGGATGAGTTAAAAGATTTATGGACACACGGTGTGCGCATATACGATAAATGTACTAGCATGATGTTCACTTTGCGAGCTGCAGTGATGTGGACTGTGAGCGATTTCCCCGCATATGCAATGGTTTCCAGGTGAAGCACTAGGGGTTATATGGCATGCCCTGTATGTAAAGAAGACGTAACATCTAGTTGGCATGCCAGAAAAGTTTGTTACCTTTGTCATCAAAGATGGTTGTCTTGGGACCACGAGTAGCGAGAGAAGGATAAAGAGTTTGAAGGGGAGAAAGAACATTGTCTCAGACCCAGAGAATGGTCCGGTGCTCAGATTTTGGAACAGCTTAACTATTTGGATTTTGCTCATTTCGGGACCAATGTCAGTAGGACAAGACCTTCTACACATATAAACTGGACGCACAAGTCTATGTTTTTTTGAGCTCCCGTATTGGTCCAAACTAAAATTGAGACACAACCTCGATGTTATGCATGTTGAGAAAAATGTATTTAACACATTGGTCGGCACAATTCTAGATATTGAGGGCAAGACAAAGGACACGATCAAAGCTCGTCTTGATTTGGAACGAATGGGAATACGACGAGGTTTATGGATGAATAGGGACAATGATAAAGCCAGAAGGGATCTTGCATTTTTTTTCAATGAAACCGAATGACAATAAAGAATTTTTAAAGTTTTTATCGTCTGTAAAGTTTCCCGATAGGTTTGCTTCAAATATCGCGCGTTGCGTGAACATTGACGGGGGTAAATTAGCTGGCCTAAAGAGTCATGACTGCCATGTGGTTTTTCAACGCCTACTTTCTGTGGGTATTCGACATCTCTTGCCAGCTGATGTAGTGAAACCAATCATGTTATTGTCCAATTTTTTTTTCGCAATTGACGTCAAGAACCTGCGAAAAACGAACGTTAATCAGTTGCGTCATAACATTGTGCAAGTTCTATGCAAGTTTGAGATGATATTTCCTCCAGCTTTCTTCACAAGTATGATACACGTGATGATTCACTTACCAGATAAGGCATTGCTTGTTGGACCAGTCAACTTTTGATAGATTTATTCAATAGAAAGGTATATATTCCTCATCTTTTTTATTAATCAATATTAAATATATTACGATTAGTGTATGAAACAAAATGAAGCCATTGGTTCGTGCTCAGTAATTATGACGAGACACTGTCATACCTAGACGAGCATGAAAATATAATAAAGCAAGCACATCTTTCACATTTGTATGCCAAGAAACATCGTGAATTGTTTCCGCAGTGGTTTGTCGAATATGTAAGTTTGAAGTGTTTTGTATTGGACATATATATTGTACCAATTAAGTTGCTCGAACTAAAAAATTTAAATGTTTGTCTAATATTAGGTGAATCAACTGAAAGCATCGAATTCCTCTGCGTACAGCGTTTGGACCAATTCGAGTTAAATTGTACTCGGGTTGCCATGTTAACGGCGTCAAGTTCTTAGTGGGTGCATAAGATTACAAGTTGTGTACGCAAAACAGCAGTGTTCATGTCCCCTGGGAGGCGAATTACATACATTGCATTCTATGGTAAACTAACAAGTGTCGTGCAATTGCTTTACAAAGACCAGTGCCAAGTGATCCTATTTAAGTGTCGATGGTTTGATACAAACCCAAATAGGCATGGAAGTGTGAAAAGAGATCATGGATTACTATCAGTGAACACTACAAAAACTTGGTACGATGACGATCCTTACATCTTAGCAACCATGGCAAAAAAAATTTTGTATATAGATGACCCTAAAGCTAGGAGAGGTTGGAAAGTTGTTCAGACGATGGATCATAAGAACGTGTATGCTATACCAGAACAAGACCATAATGACGATGACATCGACAATGTTACTGACCAACGTCTTGAATCTTTGATGGAAAATGGTGCGGAAACACTCCAAGATACTAATCTTATCCAAGAACCATTTCAGATAAAATGAGTATCTTCAATCAAAATACCGATTCTGTCAATCACAATTGACCTCGGTAATATTTCACGATATGATGGTCCAGTGCGCACAAATGATGATCACTCATATATTTCATGCATTTATACCATCCATTTCTAAAATCTTTGTGATGTTTTTGTGTTAAAATTGTGGCATTTTACTTTACCTTGTGTTAATGTACAGTTAATTTTATTTTAGGATCAATTTCAAAGAAAACTGAAGAAATAAAAGTGGCAAGGAGAATAAAAGAAGTGGGACACGGACTGGACGGCAGAAAGAATAAAAACAGCAATTAAAGAGAGAGTAGTGGATATAGACAGAGAGGAGTGGGGAGGACACCGACTGGTGGAGGAAACAAAAGAATAAAAGAAAAAGGCAGATGAGGGAGGACAGCAGAGCACGGCATCAAAAGCAGAGGGAGAGCAGAAAGACAGGAGAGAGTGGGCAGATTGACAGCGAGAAAGGAGAGAGCACAGCAAAAAATAAAAGAATAAGAAAAGAGTGCGTAGGGACGCAACATCAAAGAGAAGAGAATAAGTGCAGGACTGCGCAGAAAGAGAAAAAGGAAAAAAACAAAAAAAAATAGAGGGAAGGCAGAGACACGGCAGTAGAGGAGACATAGAGCAGAGGCGAAGAGGAACAGAAAAGAAACAGAACGGCAGAGAGAGGAGGAAGGCAGAAAAACGAATAGGCGTAGGGAGAGAAGGAGAGACTGACGGAAGGCAGCAGGCGCAGAGAACTAGGCACAGAAGCAGAGGGCAATGCGCAGAGCAGAGGAAATCAGGAGCAACGGAGATCTCGTCTTGTTAAAACGGGTGTTTTCTTTCTTTGTTATTTTGTTTTATAGATAATTTCTTATGTATGAACATAATTATGTGTAACTAATTTTATTATGCTAGAGTGAGGCCATGAGCCGCAACATGAATACGTAGATTTATTTTTCAATTGCTTAAGTGTTGTTACATGCTTGCTTTGATATTTTCAATCTCTAAATTAAACTATCTATGTGTCTTGATGATTGATCACCATTAGGATGCTTAGAAAAGTTATCGGATGCAATTTTGAACGAATGTCACGTTAAAATTGGTTATGCTTCTTGTGATTGAGGATTGTACTCTCCTAAGGTAAATATCATGCTCTTAGGGATTATATGGTTTAACAAAAGGATTTTCACCAAGATTAATTAATCACTTATGTTTATATTTAATCCAAATGTCATGGATAAATTGCATGTAGTGGTATGCGTTTTAGCTTGAATGTCACAAGTAAAACATACACAAGGAAAATCCAACCTTCAAAGCATATGTGTTTTCAATTATTTAAGCAATTGGAATAGCTACGTAGGGGTGTTGTTGGTAAAGGTTGAACTCTAGCATATTGTCAATCTATTTTTCTTCAGTCATTTATTTTATCTTGAATTTCCTTATTTACTTGTTTTGTTTAAGTTGAATCATTATTCTTATAAATCAATTCCCATTTTAGATATTTGTTTAAGTCACATCCAGTAATATTTAGTTTCGTCAAATTAGTGTAATTCTTAGAGTTAAATAAGTTAAATACACAAAAACTCGTAAATTGTTTATATCAGTCACTGAGGAAATCGACCTTGCTTGAGCCATTCTATACTACAAACACTTGTTCTCTTGCAAGAATTTTCTATGGTTTAACCCTTTGTTTTACAAGTGGTAAAATCGCTATCAAACGACGATGGTGACGTACTTATCGATGATGAGGAATGTGACACTGAAAATGATGATAGCGACGAAAGTGAAAGTTGTTATAGTTCGGATGAAGATTAAGGCAATTTATTTGTAACTTTTTTTGTAAAACACATGAAATGGTTAATGCATTATATAGAGTGATGGAAAAAATGGTATGAATGATTCCCATTTTATATGTGAATTACTTTGTAAATCAATTTGGTATGTTTGTAGTTTATAATAAATTGTAAACAAAATAAAAAAAATTAAAAAACCATTTTAAAACATAATTGAGTGACACATAACAATTTTTTGTCGTGTAAGCTAGGCCTGACAATTTCTGACACGACCCGATAACCCAACACGAGAAGCAAAATATTAATTTTATAATTTTATAACCCTAAAAGAAATTACTATAATAATTATATATATTAATTTAGCAATTTTATACCCCTAAAAACTATAAAAATTATATATATATATATATGTATATTAAATTAAATTTAAAAAATTGGTGACCGTTGGATCGACTTAAATATACATAGCATTCAACTTCTTAAATGTTATACGTACAAAATAAATAAATTTGAATCTACTAAACTAATTTCAACGATCTAACCGTTAAACTTGTTTGTATATGGTTCGAGATCGCATACGCCAAAAATCGCAAAAAACAAACATTCAGAGATCAAGTAACAGTAAAACTTTTCAACGGTTAGAAACGAAAAATCACGATTTAACGGTTATTTTAACTCCGATTTTGATGATTTTTTTACAACTACACTCCTTTACCCTATAAGAATACAATGAATGAATTTGATCTTCAATTATTTACACTAGTGGGTACCACAAAATCCTATGTTATACTTAATGAAAGTGTGACAACCCGTCCCAAATTTTATGATTTTATAAATTTTTAAAGGTCGTTATTCATTATCCTATTCATTTATTATGGTTATTTTTATTTTTACTAATGGAGGAGTTGGAAAAATTGGGGAAAAAATAAAAAGAAGAAGAGGAAGAAGAGGAAAGTTGCCTGATGGCAGCGAACTGGAGAGGGAGAGAAAGAGATGGGCACTGCCCAATCAGGAAAGGAGGAGAGTGAGGGTGACAAATGGGAGAGAAGCACCAGGAGGGAAAGGAGGGAGGCGAGGAGCACCCAACCAGTCGACTCGTGCGCCCAAAACAACACAGGTTTCGACCCAGTTCCAATTCCGGCTAAATCCCACCATTTTTCCGACGAAAGTTACTCATCCTTCACCTGGAAATTGTCCCTAGACCTCCCTTCTTCCATATCCATCCAAAATTTGAAGGAATTTGGTTGAAGTTTGGTGGAAAAACCACCATGGGTGCCGCGGGGAGGATTACTCAAAATCCACTAAACCTGAAACAATTTCATTCAATTACCACTACCAAAACACTTCCCTAGAACCCAGGAACAAAGCCCAAGCATTGGTGGAGGCGTTGGAACAAGTTTGGAGGTCGAATCAAAACACACTAAATTCTAGGGTCCGCACGGATTTTGGTGAAATTGAGATGTTTCCAAGCCAAATTGGCTTTGGTCACAGGTATAAAGTTTACTCTACTCATTAAGACCTACAATTCTGTAAATTTTGGTAATTTTTAGAAATAGTTGAATTTTCCGGCGAGCCCGGGCGGCCAACCGCCACCCGCGGCGGCTAGTGCGGTAGCGCGTGGCCTGAGGGCCGCCAATGCTATTTTTAGGCTATATGTGATGTCTTGAATTCAGTTTTGAGAAGTGAATGACTTAGATTGATCGTTAGAGCCAAAATTCTCTAAGATACGTTAATAGGCCATTATATGAATCGACGATCCGTCCGTTGGATCGTCATCAAACTTTGATAGATTATTATTCATAATATTTGAGGAATATAGGAACTTATGGATTGGGAATCCAACTTATGGATCTCCTCGAATTGGATTTGTAAGTTCGTAAAATAAAATGCTAACCGCCACTTAGTTTTGGCAATTGGCAAAAATCCGACCGTTGGATCATTTCGAAACTTTAGTATGTTGTTCTAGAAGAATAATGTGGATCCTTGGATGTTACGAATCAGAGATCTGACTTGTAGATCTTCTGGACCGAATTGCGTAAACTTATGTGCGATGTAAGTTATGTATTATATCAACAAGAATTCTGAGATATGGTTTGATAATTGGTCACAAGCGCCGATCATTTGTGACGTGTCAATGTTCGTGCTAGGAAGTTGTAGCGCGGACTCCAGGTGAGTGGATCTTTCCTTGCTCATCATATATTTCATGATTGATAACTCTATAAATACTTTTAAATAAACTAAGAGATTTATGCCATGACATATTTATATATATATATGTTATAAAATACTATTAGATGGTTGAGTTAGATTTCATTGTGATCTATCCATATGTGTATTACTATAAATGATTATTGTGAACTACGAATGACTTGATCCCTGTTTAGGGTACGTAGGTAGTCTAACGAGACGTTAGATGCAGCTATATAAGAAATGAGATTAAATAGTCGAGACCACAGCCTTGTTTAAGGAATTGAGCAATGTGTGTGGGCTTTTGGTTTTCAGTATATACTTATATACTTAATATTTTCCCAGAAAATGCATTTAAATGAAAGTATGCCTTGAATGCCATGCATAGAGATTTATATTTTGTATATGATATAGTTATGATGCATAATATATAATTGTGGTGCTGTGAACGCTCCGAAGTGTAAAGGTGAACGCAGGACACACAAGTGAGTTCAGGTAAGCTCTGGTAAGTTTAGGTAAGTTCAAGTAAGTATACGGTGTTAGCCATGATTGATGAGATATGTGCCGAGATATGAATATGTCGTATAGGTCACTAGAGGTGACTCTGACTTATATGCTAGCCATGGAGATATGAATATGTCGTATAGGTCATTAGAGGTGACTCCGACTTATATGCTAGCTATGGAGATATGAATATATCGTATAGGTCACTAAAGGTGACTCCGACTTATATGCTAGCCATGATTGATGAGATATGTGACGAGATATGAATATGTCGTATAGGTCACTAGAGGTGACTCCGACTTATATGCTAGTCATGATTGATGAGATATGAACATGTCGTTTAGGTCAATAGAGGTGACTTCGACTTACATGCTAGTATATGTAATGAATACGTGACGAGCTAGCCTAGGTGATGAAATATGGGAGGAACTATTATATATAATGAGTTATGGATAAGTCGTACAGGTCACCCTAGGTGACTTCTACCTGCGTATTATTATGAGTTATTAATCACATGATTATTTGATATTATGGATGAGATGCTGTGTTGTGTTACATTATCATTTCTCTGGAAATTATACAGGTGTTGTAGTGAGGGATTACATGTTTTATATGTTTTTCTATTAGTATGTTACTTACTGGGCCACTCACCCTTGTCCTGTCTTCACCCTTCAGGTATTATTAGCTGAGTTTTATTTTCACCAAAGACTCGCGGCGATTCTTATTATCGGAGACTATTTCGAGGGTACGATTCTTATATCACTTTTCTGTACTTGCTTATGCTCTAACATCACGTGTGAAGTGGGTTCATTCCTGCTCACCAGTGCACTATGGTATTTAGGCACTCTTAGGTTTAAATTTATTCACAATTTTCCACATCATCACACTTTATGGCTTTGTCACCTTCCAGGTGTCGACCAACACAGCTTGATTCGGAGTCCTAGTGGACATTCCGAGTCGGGGTGTGTCAGAAAGTATAAACATGTTAATGAATCTATCTTTTTGATGGGATACGCATTGTATGAAACTAATTTCAACGATGTAACCGTCAAACTTGTTTGTATATGGTTCGAGATCGCATACGCCAAAAATCGCAAAAAACAAACATTCAAAGATCAAGTAATGGGACAAAACTTTTCGACGGTTATAAATAAAAGATCACAATTTAACGGTTATTTTAAATTTACGCGGGAATATTGCACGACGAATACATATATTTCGTCGCACAAAGTGTTTTTGCGCGACGAAATATATGTATTCGTTGCGCAGGTGTCTAAAATTTCAATGAAGGCATTTTTTTTCGCGAAAATTTTAAAAAACTTGCGCGATGATTGTTTAGCCTTGCGAGACAAAGACTCTGTCGTGCAAGATTCAATATTTTAACCCCGTATCTCCTTCTTCCCCTCACTTCCCTCTTCTTCCTTTTTTTTCCCTGCGCAATACCCTCTATCTCATTCCTCTGCATCTCCATTTTTCTCTTTGTCTCTCCGGCCGTCGCGACTTCGTCTCCAAGAGGTAATTTCCTCTTTAATTTTTATTTTCAATTTTCTTTATTTGTATTGGGGGTTAGAATTAGGGTTTTTTTGGTTTTTTTCTTTTTCAAATTGGGGGTTAGAATTAGGGCAGTCAGGTTAGATTTAGGGTTCGTAAATTGGGGGTTTTTAGGGTTCTTAATTGGGGTTACATTTAGGTCTTAAATTAGGGGAACGATTTTGGGCAATGAGGTTAGAATAGGTTTTCTTAAATTGGGGGTTAATTTAGGGTTCTTAAATTAGGGGTTCTTAAATTGGTGGCGATTGTCATACTGCAATCAAGTTTATGTCCAAGTACTCAGGAAGGGTTATCATAGTGAGGGATAACAATAGGTTTCATAGGTTTGAGGATAGAAAGTGCACATGCGGAGATTAGTTCTATAAACTTCCATGTGCTTCCCTTTGTTTTTGTTTTCTCTGTGATTGCACGTTGCTCTCTTCATAAAATATGTAGACATGAACACATCTAGAACATAGGTTGAGTGAGTTGGCATTTTTCATATTTCAAAATTTCATTTTTTGGAGAAAGGGTTTAGCAATTTGAGATTTTTTTTCATCCAAATTTGTGTTTCCTGGAGAATGATATTGCGTTGTAAGTTCTTATATTCTAGATGGGTATTTATTTGCTTTCTTGAAGAAATTTGTTTATCTTTTTGGATACCGGGTGAGGTTTTTTGTCAACGAATACTTTCATTGCTAATATTGTCATTCTTTAACGAAAATACTTTTATATGATAAGATTGTCATTCTTGATTTTTTCAATTTTCCGGAGAAAAATCCACTAGCTTTTGGACGTACACTTTGGTCACCTACATTACTTTATGGTAATTTTAATTACTATTCCATAATTTTGTTACCTTCCATTGCTTTCTAGTATTGTTGTTTGACTTCAAGTTCAAGCGGTCTGCTTGAAAGTAGTCCCATGGATTTTGGTATTGTTGTGGTTGACTTGCTTTTTTAAGGTTCATTTGATGAGAGCTTACATATCAGAATTAGATGTTTTGGTTAGTCTTTTTTCATTGGTTTTCTGATTGTATTCATTGACCAATATCGTGCCTCGATTTTTGAAAATAGAAGGTTATCATCTCTGCTTCTAGGGAGATGCAAAGAAGGTTATCAGTTATCCTCTGCTTCCCTTTGTTTTAATTGTGTTATAGCACCTGTTGTGTGTATTGGTGTGATATATTGGACTTTGTAACTCCTAAGATATTTAATGCTTTCTTTTTCTGGCTATGATGCTTGTATCCTTGGTTATTGTTGAATATGTGTACTTTTTTGTTTCCATCCATTAACCTGGGTGCTTGTTCTTGATTTCTGCCTACCTTTGAGGAGCCAAATTGCTAGCTTGTGGCTTATTTGTCACTTGAATTCCCTAACACACACAGAGCACGTACATACAGATTTTGCCTCTAACTACTCATTTATGCTAGTTTCTTTTTATAAGTTGTAATTGTTGGGTCTATATCCTATATGAATTGATTAGTTTGTGTATAGTATATCAATTTTAAGTTTTGTTTCTGCCTAACTTGAATTGGGTTTAGAATTAGGGTTTTTACATTTCATTTTAAATTTAAGTTGAAATTATTAGCATGTGTACGGTAAGTTAAATCTTTGTGTACAAAACAAATTGATTTCCAATTTTGTAGATGTCACACCTCATTAAAACCCGGAGGGCGATGACTTCTACACTTAGTCCAACGACTACACCTACTACTGCCGCTATTGCTCCGGCAGAGATGGACCATAGGCCGGTTAATTCGGTTGACCCAGTTGGTCCTTCAGTCCCATATGCACATGCATCATCAACTTCTTCGGTGGTGTTAGCTGTTAACGCCCGACGTACTCACCGGCGCCCCCGTACTACGGACCAGATGTCACCATCGGGATCCACAACCGATGCCTCAGGTACACGGCCAGGTATATAATCCTAATTCACTCCCTCATTCCCATGTTAACTGAATTTTGTTATTTTAGGTTCAATTTGTTATGTCATGTCATGTAAAAGTTTCCATTGTTTTCTCTTTTTCTATTCACAATTTCTTCGCTTTCAGAAATGGGTTTTGTCATGAAATCAAAATTGTGTGTATTCCGTAATTCATGTCTGTTAATTTTTATGTTTTTGCAATTTTTTTGTTAATTTATGTGTCATTTCTTAGTTACTAAAATGGGTTCTCACAGAATTGAAACGGCAGTGATGTGGAAGAGATTTGATGCTAAAGAAATGGCGAAAATGTTTAACTGGGAAATGAAAACCTTGGTAATTATCATGAAGCAAAGTATTTAGAGTCGTAGAAGTTTCAGTTATGATTGTCAGAGTCTTACAAATATCAATGTGGATGAGGTTATATGGAATTGTTTGCTACGGCAACTTAGAATTCTTTGTTAAGCCTGTTGCCAGCAATGTCGAGAGCCTGTGTATACAAGCTTGAAAATTGGCCATCTTGGATGGCAGTTGTCGCCATTTTTAGAAGTTTGTTGTGGTATTTGAAAACGCTAGAATTGGAAATATGTTCTAATGAGGAGAAATAGAGGAAGAAAATGTATGCGAATGTTAACTGATCAATTTTGTTATTTTAGGTTCAATTTGTTAAGTTATGTCATGTAAGGATTAAAAAGTTGTCATCGTTCCAAACCTTTAATTAAACTGTTGTGATCATTGTGTTGGATGCGTATATTGTTTATGTTATTTTCAAGGTTTTGGGAAATGTTTTAATTATAGGGAAGGTTATGCCAAAATTTTAGTAGGATTTGTTATTAGTTTTACGTTAATGATTTTTTTTTTCATCTCTTTGCAGCGAAGAAAAACACCCGGGGACCTTGTCGACAATTGAAGACAGCAAAGGTCACCCGGGTGACCAACAGTCATATCTCAATCGAATACAATGAGCGACATCGGGTAGCACCAACTGCGGAGCAGCATAGTGCATTGGCCCACAACATTGGGCATGTCGTGCGAACCTTTTGCCCTATGCGGTGGAAGTCTTGGAAGGCGATGCTAGAGGAGATGAAGAACACGGTGCGCAACCAATTGTCCATAAGTAGCGTTGCCTTTTTAATGTTTTTCATGTAAAATTTATATGTTTATATTTATTACTGTCTCTTATTACTAATACTTTCAAAATATTTGATACATTGCAGACAAACTACGATTTGGAGGACATGGACAAGGACATGTTCGCATACCTCAATCGGCTTTTCTCCGAATGCTACAAGCAGTCGAAGAGCGACCTGCACCAATGTTTCCAGCAATTTGATGATCCGCAGGTCGCTCTCGAGGAGGGTTGTCTGAAAGAGTTGGAGAATCAACAAGATAGTTGGGTTTGGCTTTGCAGTCATTTTCAATAGCCGGGCTATGTGGTGTGTTTTTAATTACGACTTCTTTCATTTTACTTTTTTTAATTTTTACTAATGTTTATTATTATTTTTTTAATTTTCTTTAAGTATTACAACTAATACGTTTATTTTTTTTATAACAGAAGAAGGCGAAGGCGTGTTGTGTGACCGTCGTAGGCCACTGAAGCTCAAGGGAAAATTTTATAGGACGGCAATAAGGCCATCGATGTTGTATGGCACAGAATGTTGGGCGGTGAAGCATCAACACATACACAAAATGGGTGTAGCGGAGATGAGGATGCCTCGTGGGATGTGTGGGCACACGAGAAAGGATAAGATTGGGAATGAGGATATCCGAGGTAAAGTAGGAGTAGCCGAAATTGTAGGAAAGATGAGAGAAAATCGGCTCCGGTGATTTGGACATGTGCAAAGAAGGCCGACTGACGCTCCGGTTCGAAGATGTGACTACGGGACAGAGGTTCAGGGCCGAAGGGGTAGAGGAAGACCTAGGAAAACTTTGGAAGAGACTCTAAGAAAAGACTTAGAGTACTTGGATCTAACGGAGGACATGACACAAAACCGAGCGCAATGGCGTTCTAGGATTCATATAGCCGACCCCACTTAGTGGGAAAAGGCTTTGTTGTTGTTGTTGTTGTTGTTGTAGAAGAAGGCGAAGGCGAACAAGATCAATCGGGAGAAAAAGACTCTTCTCCACCATTCGGGTTCAAGGCTTTTCTCCTATAGGATAAAGGCGCGACGGAAGGTATATATTACATCTTTCATTTCCAATTTTAAAATGTCGCTAATATTTTTTTTCTTACTAACATTTTCCTTATCTTTTTCAATTTTATAAGGGTTCAAAATTTCCGGAGATCGACGTCTTTACTGACGTTTATGTTCGGCCTGGGCATGAGTTGACCGAGTCCCTTCATGTAAGTAATTTCTGATGCATTCAACATTTATACTAATTATTTCAAATTGTTTTCTATTAATAATCCATGTTTTTTTTTCACAGGCGACTATGGTGTAGAAGAGTCAGTCGGTGCTTCAAGAGTTCGTCTCCTAGCTTCCTTCGGACACGCCGATTAAGTCTGTCGATCCCCTTGAGGATGTAGGGTTTCACATCATGACAGAGACGTTGGACCAAACTTTCGGTCGGAGACCAGGGACTTATTGTTAGGGGATGGGAAATGCCAGGCGGCGGGAAAGTATAGCCTCTTCATCTTCGCAATCAAAGGGCCAGGTTACGGCTTTGACGCAAGAAGTCGCTGGCCTAAGGAGTGAGCTGGCATCGTACAAGTGTCAAATGTTGATACTTATACAAGCCCTCAGTTCCTCCGGAATACATCTCCCCGGTTTTTCTCCACCATCGCCCTCACAGCCCTTCCACACCAAGCAAGCACAACAATCAGGCTCGTCGACCTCCAACCCTGTCCCTAACCAGTAGCAAGATCCTTCGAACGACATTCCTATAGATTTTTCCGCTTTTTTTTCATAGTTTTGTTCCTACTTTCTTTTAAAACTTTATATTTGTACATACATTTTTATTTATATTATAAATAAAAATTGTTTTTTTATTCATTAATTTGCTTTTTTTTTGTCATTGGTATGAAATTTTTTTTTTCCTTTTATTCTATTTTTTTTTTAATAAAAATTACACTTGCGCGATGCCGACTAGTCGTCACACAAAATTAAGCGTGTCTTATAACTTCGTCGCACATTACCACACGCCTCTAACATTTTTCGTCACGCAAACTTTTTGAGATGAACTAGTCACAAAGCGCACTTGTACCCTTTTATATCGTATAACGAAAACCTTCGTCCGTATAACTTTAGCGCGACGAGTAGTAAAGCGTCGTGCCATTTTTTTTGCGCGACGAGTTTGAAATTGTTCGTCACGCAATGTCTTTTTTCACGACCTTTGTGCGACAAAATATGCGCGACGATTTTCTGGTCGCCATAGTTTTTGTGCGACCTAATAATGATCTGCACGACAAAATCTTCCTTGTCGCGCAAACTGTTTAATTTAGTAGTGTGGTGCTTTTTGGCCTCAAATGGCACATATAATTTATTGTGTGCAGTGCCCATATTTTTTGTAGTGTGATGTCTCGCAACTCTTAACGAATCCATTTCCTTTGGGGATACATTTAGCTTCTTTTTTTTTGTCAAAATATATATAAGCTAACTCTTTCAACAGTTTATTCCAACAATCACTTTATGTGCTGACTTTATAAGACAGTAAACAAAAGAGAGTAGTCTGAGTAGATGAAACACAACAATTATTTATAAGTAATAAACTGTATTTTCTTAAGCAGTTTCAACATAAAAACGCCTATATGCTAATAGAGTCCGAAGATCAAATAATGAATATTCTTATACATTGGCCTTCAGGTTATTCCTACGCCTTGTCATTCAGGAATTTCGGGAGCCACTTTGCCGACTCTTTGGGAATTCGAGTGAGATTGTTCTCACGGTCCACGTAGTAAAGACCGAATTTTGGAACAAACCCTTGCCGAAACTCAAAATTGTCGAGTAGGGACCAATGAAAGTATCCCTTCACATTCACACCATTCCTGCAAAAACATCAGTGACAAGTAAATGGATACTCTTTCCTCAAATTTGTAAACATGCACTCAACACTTGAAGTTGATTTAGATTAGTAATTTTTCATCACGTCATAATTACTTACTTCATCGCCATCTTGATCTGGTACAGATGCTGAAGAATATATTGGATTCTATGTGGATCCTTCAATGATTTATCAAGCTTGGCCTCGGTTATTCCATTCTCAGTAATATAAACTTTTGGGCACTGGTAGTTTTTGTTCATGAACTCCAAAAGTTTTTGTAATCCTTGTGGATAAGAGTAGATAAAGTCGATTCCTTCAGCCTGCAAGGGAAGCAAGTTTAGTTTTCCAGAAAATAATTGCTACACGTAAAGTAGAAAATTAACTGGAGAAATTTATTTTGACGGTATCACTTTTCTTACCTTAGGACCAATTACGACTCCATCCTTATCTGCAACAATAAAAACATGGGCAAAAATATCAGTACCACTTTCCATCTATATATCCCTACCATATATCATTCCGCCGTAGCAACAAGGTCATGCATAAGCTTACTTTTAGGCTGAACTGTGGCAAGAGTATCATTGCGGTAGGCGATCGGTTCACCATGTTTTCTTGGTAGGTACCGACCAAATCTTGCGGTATAGTAGTTAAGGCCAATAAAATCGAAGGATCCTTTCATAATTTTTTTCTCTTCCACTGTGAACGACGGCATCCTTTCCTTGGCTAAGTGTCTCATAATTATTGGGTAGTCCCCGTATACTAACGGTCCCATATACCTGACAAGGAACAGTAATAAATCATTAATGTGGGAAAAAAAAAAGTTTTGTTGATTTTAAAAGAAACAAACCAGCAGGAATCACTAGATGACAGACACAAAACATGTTATTCTATAAAAGACTGACGTCCAAGTACAACATAAGCGATACATGTTCCAACAATATAAATACACACACACACACACACTACTTTTTACTAACCACCCAATTTCAAAGTCCAATAGTCTCTTTGCCGCTGCCTTGTCTTCAACTGAATTTGAATATGGCTCAACATACTGCCCTACCAGACTGATTCCGATTTGACCGCCTTGATCCCCCTTGAAATAAGCAGATAGTAATAAAACGTCAGGAAAGATAAGAATCTCATGGATTTGATCTTAATTCCTGAAGTTGATGGTAAATGACAGTGACTCACCAGAAACTTCTCTCTGTAGAGGTTGACAACGGTAGCATGGGCAAGGAGAAGGTTATGGCTCACAGTGTAAGGCTCGGTACCTGAATTTCCGCCTGTACATGGTGGAGCATGTTCTTTCACAGGAACCGAGCACCTGGCCGGTGGACCAACTCCCAAGTCATAACCCATCTTGGCCATAATCAGTGGCTCGTTGATTGTGATCCAATTTTTTACCCTATCGCCGTAGGTTTTAAAGCATAGCTCACAGTAGTCCTTGAAATCAGCCCTGAAAATATGTGATATTGCAAACTGAGTGTCACAACTTTGAGAGATGAAAAGTAGCTAGTTAGCATCAAAAGGTGCTTACACAAAAGAACGGCTCAGAACTCCTCCATACTTGTCCGTCAAGGCTTGTGGTGGGTCAAAGTGCAAGAGGGTCACAAAGGGTTGGATGCCTGTATTAAAACATAGAATTGACTTAACCAAACGATCAACATATAGGAGAATGATAATTGCTAATGGCTTTGTGGTCAATTATTGGTCACTGCTTTGTTATAACTACAATTTACAGAGCGCAAGAAAACTTGATGAACATCTTTCATCCTGTGTATATTCTCCACAAAGCATATATATTTTATCAAATATTGTTTCTTCAAGCTTAGGCTTCCTAAAACTTATCGAAAACTGAAGGCATATCACTGGTAATTAACACAAACTATGAAAATTTACTGGCACTGATTCTTTGTAAAATTAATATTGTCTTACCATTCTTCAGTAATTCATTGATCACATTGTTGTAGTGATCAAGGCCCTCTTGATTTATTCCACCATTCAAGCTTCCGTCTACATGTCCAGAATTGCAAACAAAAAGCATTAGAGCTCAAGTAGCGGACTCAACATGTACGTAGTCGTGTTTGCAATTATAACTTAAAGCCATTATTTTTATTAAAGTTCTTACTAGGAAGAATCCTGGTCCAGGCAATAGAAAATCTGTTGGCATCGACTCCAAGGTTCTTGATAGCCACCACATCTTCCTACAGTCACAAATGCTGGTTGTAAGATATATGCCAAACAGAGAAGAAAAAAACACTAACTTTTCTTTGGAGCTACTAGCGAATGAAACTTGATGATTAGTATGTCTTCACTCACCTTGTATCGCCTATACGAATCAGTGGCAGTAGACAGATTGGAGTGGTCCTGAATCCTTTCTGAAATGAAGGAAAATCACAAAATAAATAGGTGGTAAACTATGACACATAGAAATAAGGGTATGTCAAAGAAACTAGAACAAACTAATAGTGAGTATATGTGACGAACCTGGAAACTTCTCAATGTAGTTGTCCCACACACTTGGTCCTTTACCTGCGACATCTGTTGCTCCTTCGTACTGCACCCAACTCATCATGGAGTATACATATTATTACACTATCAAATTTTGCGAAGTGAAATGAACTATAGATACACAAGGGAAAAGTGTGCAGCTAGTTAACTACAGTTTCACAAGAAAAAAAATACCTGTGGAGCATCAGTCGTAACTCCAAAAACAAAATCGGCAGGAAAGTCGGACCTGGTAACATCAATGGTGGATGATTCAGCTGAGAAAGAGGCAATGACACATAAAATTACTAAAGTGGTAAACACATTTGTTCGGGATCCCATAGTTGATGGCTGTGGTTGAACAGAGGAAAGTAAGCAACTAAAGAAACTGATATGCAGAAGAAATGAAGAGAATAAACAGAAGGAGATGAAGAATAATAGCTTCTGATTACTTGAGAAAATCAGTGAATATTGCAAGCTATATATAGTTGAAAAAACAAAGCTTTGGCTCTAGCAACCTAACCGATTACACAAGACAATGTGCATGTAATTTGTTTTAGGTTTTAACCATTGGATAAGCTTTTTAACCAAAATATTGCTGCAATTAAGATTATGATTTAATGGAGTTCCCAGAATTGTAGCCCTAGCTACTTCATTTAGGCCAAGGTAATTTTACACCAATGGTTTGACAAGGACCAGCTCTCCCAGTAATTACAAAAAACAACTGCATAAAAGTCAACAAAGATAATTAAAAGAGGTGGTTGGGTTTTAGTTAATTACCCTAAACACTACGTATTGCCAATCGTGGTGCCGCTCGCATCCACCGGTCTTCCATCATCTGGTGTTTTCTTTCTTTCCCGCTATTTTATTTTGTTCTTCAATATTAAACTGTCACGACATCGTAATTCAAATATCCAATCTACCACCGTTTATTTTATTTTGTTGTCCAATATACACCGCATATATTTTAATTATACATAAGCATTAGATTTATGATGTGAATCTACATTTACTGTATATTTTATTTGATTTTGTTGTTCAATATAAACTGTATTTATTAATTATATGAGCATTAGAGCTATGATGTGAATCTGCATACTTGTTGGTATAACCTGATTCACATCAGATCATCTCGGAGCAAGTACTGATGCTGAGGAAGTATTTCCATCTAGAAGTAGGGTATTGTTCGTGAGCAGGCATTTAATTCATCTGAAGTAGGTTTTGTAAGTCTTCTCTTA